GAGAGAGAGAGAGAGAGAGAGAGAGAGAGAGAGAGAGAGAGAGAGAGAGAGAGAGAGAGACGCTTAGAAGAGTACAGGGGGAAAGGCGTGCCTAAAGGAAGCATCCTGACTCAATCACGCACAGATGAAGGGAGGTGAAAGCAGAAGACAAAGACAACAAGTAGGACGGACTTGAAATATGGTAATGGGGCTAGTGCCAATAAATACTCTCTCTCTCTCTCTCTCTCTCTCTCTCTCTCCCCACAAAGTGAAGGTCCTATCTGTTAGGCATGCCGGTGGAATATGAACAGGAATGCTGCTCCCCAGAATGTATACGATGCCAGGCCCTGTTTAGTCTACTCATTTATCAAATAAAACAAAAACAAGAGCTATTTCTTGCGGGGGAACAGAGCCACAGGAGAAGAAATTGTCGTTGCCGAACTCGAAACGCCAATGGAATGTCCATCCAGGAGAAGGCAAAGTTGGCAAACCTTTCGAGTTGTGTGTGGACTCCCACAGACAACTGTTCGACACCCATCTACCGTCTGGTGGAGCAAGCAAGTGGGTGGGGATCATCAGGGCTGATGAGTGCTTCGTACAGCGAATCAAAGCCTTTTGCACCTCATGCATGAGATATGGATTGAAATAATTAATTAATCAACAAGCCATCCAATCTGCCCCCGCCCCCCCCCCCCCGCCCCCCCCCCACACACACAAAAAAAAAAAAACCTGTTTCGTTGCAGCAAAATTCAACAGGCATCCAAACCAACCCAGCTCACCTTGTCAGGGAAAGTGCCATCCTCATCCAAAAAGTATCCGAGACCGCCAGTCATCCCAGCTGCTACATTGAGACCAACCCTGCGGAGAAAGAGAAACCACAAGAGATAAGAAAGCAATCCACAGGAAACCAATTTAACCAACACCAACGGTGGCTCCAGCTATAATGCGCTTGTTGCCCAGGCCACTCCAACTAACTTTGCACCTTCAAGCATACATCCATTTTTTAAAAGTTTTTTTTGTTTTTTTCTTTTTTTGGTACCTTTCCTTTGAGAATTACCTCACATCATGTTTTTCACTTTTGGACTTTCAGTTGCACCTTCAAGTTTCAACAACATACATTCCTGCGAGGCTGATTTGTATGGTTCTCCTCTGGCAAAACATCTACCCGCAGATGTCACTAACTATCAGGGCGTTTGGACAAGTTGAGGGTAATCAGGGTTTGCATGGACGGATATTGCAGCCTTGTTTTTTCCTTCCCAGTTTATTGACTCATTATTATTAGTTGAATCGCCCATCTCCCGGCTATATTGGAGGCCAGTCGCTGTGAGCTTCTGACTTCCCAAGATGTATGTGAGCATAGTCTCAGGTTTGAGCAAAGGAACCCGAGACAAAGTACACAAAAATTGCACCCCTTTTCGGTCTTCATCTGACAAAAAGGGGTGCAATTTTCCTTTCACTCTAGTCTTCGGTTGGTTCTCCTCTCAGAGATGGGAACCCAAGACAAAGTTAAAAAGTTAAAAAAACATTGTACCCTTTTTTCTTGTCAGATGAAGACCCAAACCGCCCCATTGGTCAACCGATCAAATTCTTTTTACTTCTAAAAATTATTTAGATGAGTTCACTTTCTTCATACTTCAAGTTCTGTGTGTGAGCTCACAAACCATATAACCAGAAACTGAAGAGCTGAGCATACCGAATGCATGTGTCGTAAAACAAACGCCAGACATCAAACCCAAACTCACAAAATCCAGAGAAAACTAGAACGGCGTGATGCAGGTCACATCTGCATCGTTGAGCGCGAAGCGCCAAAAGGCCCAATCTGCCATAACGGCATACTTGCCTCCTGTAAAATAGGGATGGGCGGGGGAAATCTTTCTGTATTTTTGACTTCTTATCTTATATTATTATTCTAAAAACTTAAAGTAGTAAAAAGTTACTGAAAGTAGTAAAACTTCTAAAAGCAATTACTCAAGACAGTCGAACCCACAAACAATGCTTCTCAAGGAGGAGTGGAGCAGTAGTACATCCTTTCTGAAGTGAGTACTTGATGTACGGCACACCGGATCCAGTTTCCAGATTTTTGGTAAAAATATTCTTAAAAAAAAGAAAAAAGAAAAGAACCATCCACTAACAATGAAAAAGTTGACACTGGCAAAAAAAAACAAAAAAAACAAAAAATAAAATTGACACTGAGTCAGCGGCCGAGCTCAATTGGTACCATACATTGGCCGTGGACGGGGAGGCCCTGCAAGTTTCGGAGGCCGGTAATGCAATGAAGGTCAGCGATGAAATTTATCAATCCTCGAAGAATGCGGTACAGCCTAGTATATTCCCACTTGGGACTTCAGCCATAAAAAGAATAGCCTTAACTGGTGTGGAATTGGCTGGAACCACACATGGGCTACAGGTATAGGTGTTGCAGAGACGACGAACAACGACGGATCGTATCAGAAACAGGATGTTAAGTGGCCTGAGGAACTGTTAGGAGCGCCCCCTCCCCACCGACGCCTCGCCTATGCGAAGGCTGCCTTGGTGCGTGACTGGGTGCTGCCAGTAAGCCTCCCGGCCAGTAGGGCAACCCTCCGAAAGGCCCCACCGTTTGGAGGGGAGGCTGCCCCGAAGCAGTTACCCCCCTTGATAAGGGACTAGTGCCACAAGGAATGGGCTGACCCTCTTTCCCGTCTGTTTCTCCCCCCTTTTCTTCGGTTGTAAAAACATGTTTGCTGAAATTGCCGGTGAGATGAGCAACTGGACTGCGGTCCCCCAGAATAGAAGGGGCAAATGTTTGTTAAAAAAAAATAAAAAAATAAAAACCACCAAACGTTAGATTGGGAAAGGGATACAGAGGGAAACGAAGCAGGATATGATGCACGTAGGACCTAGGGATGACTCAGACGGGCGAGGAAATAGCCGAGGATGGAACAAGCGGCCTCAGTCACTGCCCTGAGCGCGCCCCCGGCACTGTGCTCCCGGGTGGATTCTCCTACTGCGTGCCTGGGTGCTGCTGGTAAGCCTCCCGACCAGTAGGACAACCCACCGTAGTAGGGAAAAGGTTTGGGGGTGGGGTACTTACAAGCAGCCCCCATTTGCTTAGGCGGCTAGGGGCACAAGGATTAGGCTCTTCTTCTCTCATCTCTTCCCCCCCACTGTGAGTGTGCCCAGTTTTGTTGCAGTGAATCTTCCACCGCACTTTAGCGTACTGTCTCACAGCGCCGAGTTGTGATGATTGTAGTTCAATCTCGCTAAAGCAAACTTCACCTGCCCAAAAGGTATACTCCTTTTTCTTCACGCCATCCCTCGTCCTGTCTTCATACAAACATGCTTGCCAGTGATAAGTAACCAGACTGACGCCCCCCAGAATAGAAGGGGCTTTTGGGAGTGCCTTTTCCACTCACTGATTTTCCCAATCTTCTACAGTTTAGCCAGTGATTCCAAGCGGAATTTTGTCTGGTTTCACACTTAAGCGTTTACCCAGATCCCTTCCCGCGATCTTAAAACAACACCAAACGTGTAGCATCACGACCAGCAAGCGGACTCCATCAGTATCCTCAAGACAAAGGACTGGCAATGCTCCCATTTTAAGAAAACCCTATCGCTCCTTTCATGTTGGCCAGAAAATACACATGTTCCATTCAGGGCAGCATTATGGACCTCATGGCTGTCCTATGCGTTGCAGCGCATCGAACAAGTCATGGGCTGCAATGCTGCCAGAACTGACATCCTAAGAAATCCCATGCTTGCTGTGCCTCATCAGTTCGGACAATGCCCGAGCTGCTTCTTCTAACATTCAAGGTAAACATTTAGCTTCCACAAAAATGCTATGCTATAAATGATTAAATTCTATTAAGGTCATGTGGCAGATAGATGAATCCCCGCTGGTCCATTACACAGGAAGCTAGGTGCACGGATGGAACCAACGTAATGACCTGCATGAAAGGAAAGTAAGCTTATGCTCACGTTACTTGCATGGCATGCAAGATGGACTCCCCCCCCCCCCCCCCTCCCCCCCCTCTGAACAGATACAAGGTTGAGTTTCACTTACTTTCCAAGAGAGACGACACATCCCCCCGTCATGTACTCGCAGCAATGGTCACCCGCTCCCTCAACGACTGCCTCTGCAAGGGAATTACGCACTGCGAACCGCTCACCAGCCATGCCACGCACAAACAGTCGGCCGCCTGTTGCACCATACAGGCAGGTGTTCCCGACAATTGTTGCCTCCTCGGCTTTGTATCGGACACCTTCGGGCGGGACCACGGCCACCTCCCCTCCAGCCATACCCTGCACCAAAGGTTCACAGATGCACGTCATAAATCATAAATGGATTGGATGTTTTTTAACCAACTGGAACCACATATTTCACGTAAAAGGCTGCAAGCGCATTTTCAACACTTTTGAGTGTGCGCAATCACAGTAGCACTTTGATAAACAGAACAGCCTAATGCAAGGAATATGAGAGTGAGCGATATACTTAAAACCAAGTTGCGAAATCACACAGCTGAGCAAGTAGTAGTATCCCAAGTAGAGAGTACAAATGCACCGAGAAAACCATCCATAAAGAGCAGCAATACAATGAAGTATTGAGCCAATGTCCAAGCCCGTAGGCCACACCAACACAGTATCCAGTCTCTCTGTCTGGCGCACAGCGCCCAGCCTACTCTACCACACTATCCTACTCTACAGCTGGGTTCACACAACTGGATCACTTCGGCTCACGAAGACCAATGTACATGATTGTCAACACCATCGGCGACCTCTCCTCATGTACCAGGTACGTATCTCGTCACCCTCAATCAGACCTTGATTACCCCACACAGCGCCTCACTCCCTGAAGACCACCCGATCATCCGCTATACCCCCTGGCGCCTAGCAGCCTGGCTATGGCTGCCTGCGCCCCGCTGCCCTGCAGCGCCCCTGGCATTAGCGCAGCATCAAGCAGAAGTGCAGCAGCACTTCCGCATTGCCAGCGCTGGCCAGTGTGTCTGGCCTAGGCTGCCTCACTTCCTTTATGGAAGTGTCAGCCTCTTGGATGTCGCGTGTGGTCTGGCTGGAAGCTTCTAGAAGCTTCCGGTTGGGCCCCAGACCCTGTGCCCAGGCCCGAGACTTACAGTTGAGGGCCTGGGCCCTTTTCAGTTGGGCACCGCCTGGCTGTTGGCTGTATCTGCGCAGGGGCCACGGATAGATGCGTCGGCAGTACTGCTTTTCCCAAAGGCCAACGGCCTGCTTCTCAATGTATCGGCCCTGCTTTGTGTGTATATGCCCAGGCACAACTTTCGTGGCCTGGGCCAACTGTACGACGCAGCTTAGTGAGGCTCGCGCGTTCACTCAACCAAATGACGTGCTGCAAGAGCCTGAATACCCACATATGGAAATGTCGAATTTGACCTGTGACGAATATTCAGGCCCGCCTTCACTTAGGAGGGCGGGCACTTGGCTTGCTGGGGCCTTAGCCCAGAACAATGTGATGCCTGATAGGGCCACTTGAGGGCTCGTTCCTCACACTAATCACTGTATGAGTTTTTTGCCAGAGTGCAGAATTGATTGCACAGGCTCTTTCTTCTTGTTAGAGCCTTTCGTAATTAACTTCAGGTAACCTAACGGTCGCCCACATACTTGCTCAACTAGATAATAAAGATTCCAAAAAAGCGACAATAAAGATTGCAAAAAAGCAACATAAAAGTAACAACCAGGCGCAAAGCGAACATAACTACGCATGAAACAAGCCACTTCTCAATTTAATCACACGCACACCCGAACGGATGAGAAACCCCACCCGAACGGATGGGAAACCCCACCCGAACGGATGGGAAGCCCCACCCGAACGGATGGGTAATTGGGACATATCATGCATGACATTCAATTCAAAATGAAATCTATGCACAATGATTTTTTATAAGTGCATAATTGCAAAGTATAAGCGGGGGAAAAAACAAAAACTGACGCAATTTGTCCAATAGTTACATAGGGTGCTTCCACAGGTTGACATCCAATCCAACCTAATGTCGTAAACAATCCTGCCGCAAGGAACCAGAAAAGTTTTTGATGAACGGGTCCAAAAGTTGAACTTCGTACATATGGAGTGTTTATAAAAGGTAAAGCATATTGTAAGTACCACATTGGATACAAGAGGGCCGAAGGGCCGACCAATGTGGTCGTCTTTCGATAAAGCGACCGGTCGTATAAGAGGCCACTTTCTCTTATATACAGGTGCCTTCGCACTAAAACAAAGAATCTATCATCTTGAATCTTCTTACGCAGAAGACTCATCAATATTTGGTGGCCGATTGTGTCTTCAAGCCATAACAATCCGCTCCAGTATTTACCAAAAATCAAACTGGGCTATTGCTGGCCTGGTGCACCCGATGCAAGTCTTCTGACTGTCAGCTCACACCACTGCAGAGCCCCCTACTGAAAACTTCAAGCCATAGCAATCTCCTCAAACGACAACCAGAAAACAAAGTGGACTACTGCCGACCTATACCAGATGCAGGACTCCTGACAGTGTCCGGTCACACCACCCTTGGAAGTCAAGATTGCTCCGAATGAGACTTGCGAAAGGAAGGTCAGTCGCAACCAGGAAATACACTCCAGGCACAACCATACGTTGATAAAACAGACTGTGGAATCCCTCCCTGATGCTGAGATGGGTGCATTTGCTCATATATTTCCCTATGTAGATAGCAGGAAGTCGCAGTAACCAAAAAATACAAGTGCCATTCAACTGTACTATTGAGTCGTAGGGCATTCCGTTCATGACGAGCGCCGCACTCTTAGCGCCTACGGTGGTCTTTCTGCTCCACTGCTCAGCCTATGGGCAATCATTTGTCATTCTCGTTATCTTATCCGACCCCAAACCACATTCCTTGTTGCGCTCACAGTGACCCTTCTGGACCTAGGGAATGCACATGCCATATCAGCAATGTCACCGTTGTCACTCGCCTGTGAGCAAGGGGAGAGAGTGGTGAACAAGAAGAAGAAACGTTGAGGTCCTTGAAGATGTACAAACATGTTCATATTGACTCACATAGATGTATAATGCTATATATAAATAAATGAAAAGCTGTAATTTAATACAAAATATTTAAATATATATAATAAGATCAAATAAAATTTCATGGAGTTGCCAGCTCACCTTGCAGACATAATCATTGCCCTCCCCAATCAACTTCACCTTCATGCCCCCCATCAAGAAGCATGCGAATGACTGACCAGCACTCCCCATGAACCTACACAAAGGACGAAACATGGCCACCAGCATTATGAGAACCCTAGCTCACACCATGAACATTTCAGCATGCATTGGCGAAACCGGCAATGCCCTTGACTGATGCTCATTGTACATGTACCACATCAAATAGAGGTACGCTCGACCCGGATTATCAAATAGAGGTACGCTCGACCCGGATTCCAGCAGGTGAGGCTCCCCACCAATAGATTGGAGCCATGTAAAAAAGGAAAAAGAAAAAGAAAACGAGAGAAAAACAGCACAATCAGCAACGTGAGGTGTATGAAAGGAGGGTGCATGCTTGCACAAGCATCCCTTTGCAGCAATGGATGAAAGGGAGCTCGTAAACAACGCATGACAATAATTATAATCCCAGCCCAACCTGCTCACTACCTCAGAAAGGTTGTAAATAAGAAAGGATGATTCCCACGGGCAGACTGAACAACAACAAGAACTTGTCTGCTATGATCCTGCAGCGGTAAGAAAAGAATGGAGAAAGGACAATTGAGGCATGAACACACCTAGTAATCGTCTCCCTCGTCTCGTCACCTCATTAATCACTCTTGTGATTCCCCGCCGCATCTTATATGGTATAATCCATCCAAAAATAACAAAGAATCAATCTCCAATGATCCACCCCGCAGCCCCTATTCACGTGTACTTGCTAGCCACCCCCTCCTTCCCCACCTCTCTCTCTCTCTCTCTCTCTCTCTCTCTCTCTCTCTCTGTGTCTCTCTCTCTCTCACACACACACACACACACATACACACATTTATGTATGTCTTTTTTTTTCTTTCTAACAGAACCTTAGTTCTGGCTCCTTTTCCATTCTGGGGAGCGTCAGTCCGGTTCCTATTCCACCGGCAAGTCTGGTAAAATTACAAGAAATACTCACTCACGCACCTCCCCCTCAAGGTGTGGAGGCCCGAAGGACGGCATTGATTGCCTCATAAAAGAGGGATGTACCACCCTTCACCCCTGCCTAAGTTAGCCTGATCATCTATGTTTCTGCTCTTTTTCCTTTTTGGAACTAAAGCCCTAAACCCTTGCTGACTGCGGCTTGCATGAGGGGACTTCCCTAAGAGAGGTTTCCTTGTTGGGGGGTGTTGTATATACCTGTGGATTCTGAGCGAGATGGATGGRAGGGAGGGAGACGAGAAGAGTGAGGTGTGAGGGGCAGGTGATTATGTGATTCCGTACCAAGGGGTATAAGGCTGTGGGCTAGGGGAGGGGCTGTGATGGTTATTGAGATTAGGGTGGGATTGTAATTGTGTGGGAGGAAACGGGTTTAGTAGTTGATGGTGTTAGCTGAGATGGGATGGTGTGGGGCAAGGGGAGTCACGGGTGGGTTCTTCATCTGTTATGGTTAGTGTGTGTGTGGATGGGTTGGGTTGGGGGACATTTATGTATGTCTTAAATTGTCTTTCTTTGCTTATTTTTCCTTTCAGTGGGGCTTACTGAGCACCCCTAAGCAGTGCCAAATAGTTGGTCATTCCTCGTTTCCCTCTCTCTCTCTCTCTCTCGCTCTCTCTCTCTCTCTCTCTCCCCCC